TTCTTTCTTTCTTTTCTTTCTTTTTTTCTTTCGTTTTTCATGTAGAGAGTGCTATCATCTCCACTTCTTTCTTTCTTTCTTTCTTTCTTTCTTTCTTTCTTTCTTTCTTTCTTTCTTTCGTTAACCATATGAGAGTGCTATCATCTCCACTATATTCTTTCTTTCTTTCTTTCTTTCTTTCTTTCTTTCTTTCTTTCTTTCGTTAAACATATGAGAGTGCTATCATCTCCACTATATTCTTTCTTTCTTTCTTTCTTTCTTTCGTTAACCATATGAGAGTGCTATCATCTCCACTATATTCTTTCTTTCTTTCTTTCTTTCTTTCTTTCTTTCTTTCTTTCTTTCTTTCTTTCTTTCTTTAAACATCTCCTTCATTCTATATTCTTTCTTTCTTTCTTTCTTTCTTTCCTTTTCTTTCTTTCTTTTTCGTTAACCATATGAGAGTGCTATCATCTCCACTATTCTTTCTTTCTTTCTTTCTTTCTTTCTTTCTTTCTTTCTTTCTTTCTTTCTTTCGTTAACCATATGAGAGTGCTATCATCTCCACTATATTCTTTCTTTCTTTCTTTCTTTCTTTCTTTCTTTCTTTCTTTCTTTCTTTTCGTTAACCATATGAGAGTGCTATCATCTCCACTATATTCTTTCTTTCTTTCTTTTCTTTCTTTCTTTCTTTCTTTCTTTCTTTCGTTAACTTTTCTATCATCTCTCATTTCTATTTTCTTTTCCTTCTTTCTTTTTTCTTTTTTCTTTCTTTTTTTTCTTTTTTTTCGTCTTTTTCTTTCTTTCTTTCTTTCTTTATTTCTTTTTCCTTTTCATTTATTTTTCATTTCCTTTTCATTTCTTTCTTTCTTTCTTTTTTCTTTCTTTCTTTCTTTCTTTCTTTCTTTCTTTCGTTAACCATATGAGAGTGCTATCATCTCCACTATATTCTTTCTTTCTTTCTTTCTTTCTTTCTTTCTTTCTTTCTTTCTTTCTTTCTTTCGTTAACCATATGAGAGTGCTATCATCTCCACTATATTCTTTCTTTCTTTCTTTCTTTCTTTCTTTCTTTCTTTCTTTCTTTTTTCCTTTCTTTCTTTCTTTTCAGTTATTTCTCCTTTTCATCTTTTCATTTCCTTCTACTTTTCTTTCTTTCTTTCTTTCTTTCTTTCTTTCTTTCTTTCTTTCGTTAACCATATTTTCATCTATCATCTCCACTTCATATTCTTTCTTTCTTTCTTTCTTTCTTTCTTTCTTTCTTTCTTTCTTTCTTTCGTTAACCATATGAGAGTGCTATCATCTCCACTATATTCTTTCTTTCTTTCTTTCTTTCTTTAACCATATGAGAGTGCTATCATCTCCACTATATTCTCCCTTTCTTTCTTTCTTTCTTTCTTTGTTTCTTTGTTTCTTTCTTTCTTTCGTTAAACATATGAGAGTGCTATCATCTCCACTATATTCTTTCTTTCTTTCTTTCTTTCTTTCTTTCTTTCTTTCTTTTCAGTTATTTCTCATTTTCGTCTTTTCATGTCCTTCTACTTTTCTTTCTTTCTTTCTTTCTTTTTTCCTTTCTTTCTTTCTTTTCAGTTATTTCTCCTTTTCATCTTTTCATTTCCTTCTACTTTTCTTTCTTTCTTTCTTTCTTTCTTTCTTTCTTTCTTTCTTTCTTTCTTTCTTTTTTCTTTCCTTTCAGTTATTTCTCCTTTTCATCTTTTCATTTCCTTCTACTTTTATTCTTTCTTTCTTTCTTTCTTTCTTTCTTTTTCTTTCTTTCTTTCTTTCTTTCTTTCTTTTCAGTTATTTCTCCTTTTCATCTTTTCATTTCCTTCTACATTTCTTTCTTTCTTTCTTTCTTTCTTTTCAGTTATTTCTCCTTTTCATCTTTTCATTTCCTTCTACTTTTCTTTCTTTTCTTTCTTTTCTTTCTTTCTTTCTTTCTTTTCTTTTTTTTCTTTTCAGTTCTTTCTCCTTTTTTCATCTTTTCATTTCCTTCTTCTTTTTTTCTTTCTTTTCTTTCTTTTTTTCTTTCTTTCTTTCTTTCTTTTTTTTCCTTTCTTTCTTTCTTTTCAGTTATTTCTCCTTTCATCTTTTCATTTCCTTCTTTTTTCTTTCTTTCTTTCTTTTCTTTTCAGTTATTTCTCCTTTTCATCTTTTCATTTCCTTTACTTTTCTTTCTTTTTTTTTTCTTTCTTTTTTTTTTCCTTTCTTTCTTTCTTTCTTTCTTTTCAGTTATTTCTCCTTTTCATCTTTTCATTTCCTACTATATTTCTTTCTTTCTTTCTTTCTTTCTTTTCAGTTATTTCTCCTTTTCATCTTTTCATTTCCTTCTACTTTTCTTTCTTTCTTTCTTTCTTTCTTTCTTTTTTCCTTTCTTTCTTTCTTTCGTTCTTTCTTTTCAGTTATTTCTCCTTTTCATCTTTTCATTTCCTTCTACTTTTCTTTCTTTCTTTCTTTCTTTCTTTCTTTCTTTCTTTTCAGTTATTTCTCCTTTTCGTCTTTTCATTTCTTTCTTTCTTTCTAG